TCTAAAGGAAATCTCAATATCAGATAACATAATTTATTATTAATCAATATAAAAAATATTTATTTATTTTTTGTTTAATAATAAATATCTTCATTTGTTTTCTAGTATTAACCAGATGTCGATGCATTCTCAAAGAATATAAATTATACTCATAAATATGTGTGAATAGAAACATAATTCTCAGAATTATATTCAATGACTTCAATATTCGATTTCAATATTCGAGATAATTATTAGGGAAAAGTGGAACGGAATTCTTTGTTCTGCATATATTATATACAGACCAAATGTTTTTTATAATCATTACAATTTGTATTTGTAAAGCAAAAATACATATATATATATATATATATGCTTTCTGATGTCCTGATGATCTAATATATAAAATATTAAAATATTTTTAGACGATATTTTTCCTGAATGAAATTCTATTAAAGATCTGGAAAAAACATGAAAAAAATATGAAAAAATTCTCAATATAATGAAACATAGTTTCAATATAATATCAAAAATATCCAAGAATCTATTTAGATGAAAATTTTCAATTCAAATGGATTGGTCGTAGTGGTATTGCAACATAATCTTCAAAGACACTGGAATTTTTTAGATTTTTTTTTTAAGAATACTTGAAAAATGAAATATATCGTCATCCATCAATATTAACAGAGAAATATTAGAAATTTGATGAATATTAGAATTATAGAAATTTGTATAACAGTGGAAAAAGATACATCGAATTACATTTATTACAAAAAAATTAGTCCTTTCCAAAACCCAATATTTTTAACATAAAAATTTAAAATTCTTTTCTCAAATTTCTGAATTACAAGTGATCAGTATTGATGATCCTATAACGAAATGAATAATAGATAATTAGTTAATCTGATAATATAATTTGTGTGTAATTTTTCAACAATATTATATTTATAATTTGTCTATTTAGTGTTTTATGTAAATTTATCAAGAAGTTTGTTCGTCAATGTTAAGAAAGAATATTCAAAAAAATTAATTTATAATACATTTCAAGATTCAAATTGAATTTTCGGTGACTGGTTTAAAGTATTTATTTGATGAATTGTTTTTTAATTTAATACAAATTGTAAAAATGTATGTATAAAATGTATGAATTATTTTTATTGTTCGTTATTGATTTGTTAAAACTTTTATATTTCTGTTTCTTTTTCTTACAATTTTACATTATTCATTTTGTAAAATGAATTCAATTTATTCATTAATTTTATATGAATAACAATTAATTAGTTTATTCATTATTCGTGAATAAAATTTAATTCGATATAATTTTTTATCGATAAAAAAATATTTAATATATTCAACATATTTTCTTCGATATATATTATTTGAAAATATGATATCGTTGGATTATTCGTCAATCAAAATTCGTCTTGCGCTTCGTAATTGGCCAATATTTTATTAATAATTTGTAAAACTATAATGAATGTTTTTGCTAAGAAAAAAATTATTTGTAAAAATTATTTCAGGAATCTCTAAATTAATAAATATTTCCACATTTTAATATACTATATAGTATATTTAAAATAAGAAATATTAAAATAAGATAAAAATAAGAATATTTATAATTATGTATGATCAACAGCATTAATACATAGCGAGGAATAGTTGATATTCATTAATCTAAGAAAAAAAATAAACAATTCAATTGGCTTTCTGGTAAATTGTAGATTTAAAATTGAAGTTATTTTTATTAATGAAAAAATTTTTTTTCTCATTTCATTGAAATTTTTAATAGCATAAAAAAAATAAAGAAAAATAGATACATCATAATGGAAAATACAACTTCTACAATATATGTTTAATCAAAAATAAATAGTCATTGAAGGGGCAAACATCACTCAAATTTCGTGATATTCATATTACTTTTCAAAATAATTTTATAAAATATTCTGTACTGCAGATTATTTTTTACATGACTATTATACGATATATGATTATAATAATCAAAAGAAATTATGTAAAGTTATATTTTAGTTTTAATAAACTAGAATTTATATTATAATGTTATAAACTACAATAATTTTTGTAATAATATTCATGATGATTATAAAAGAGTATCTATAAATCTATAATAAAAATTATAATATCTATAATATCTATAATAAAAATTATAATATAAATAATTAATTTAATTAATTCAATAGAAGATTGTCAATTAATACTTATGAAACAGAAAACTAAAAAGAAAAAAGAAAAATTATGAGTAAGTTCAATTCTAAAAAATTACTTATATTATTTATATATATGAAATTTAGAAAACAATTAAATGTTTCCAATATTATAAAACAAATAATTTCTTTGCTAACAAATATAAAGACGCAAGAAAAAACAGGATGCCGATATGTAATGAAATTTTATCTGTAATAATAAATTAAAAAAATATTATATTATTAGAGATGCACCTAAAATGCACAAACTTGTATTCACGTTATGCATATTACTGAAGTTAGAAACTAAAAATATTATTATATTACGCAAAAAAAAGTACTATTAAAAAGTTTAATGATATGGTTGGTTTAATGATATGAGGATATTTCAACTTCAAGATATAAATAAATGCCTTAGATACAAATAATTTAAACAATTTCTATTTCATAGCTGCAATAAAGCTATATTCAAAGCTACAATAAAATATCTAGAATAAATAAATATAATATAAATTCTTTTTGTATATGAAAAAAATGATAAAAGTTATTAAATCACTTATAAAAATACGAAATCGTCTTTTCGTATACAAAAATATTCTTTTCTTTTCTCCTTAAAAAATAACATTAATATTCTACATTTAAAATTTCGAAAGTATTATTCTACTTTTTATTTTACGAACATAATGATAACAAAAAACTCAAAAATATAATAAATTATTGTAATTCCATAAAAAGTATAAAATGTTTTAGATAAGTTATTATGAGAATACTCTTATAAATATAACCAATCATTGATCCTTAATATTGTTTATGGATTACGTATACATTATTTTATACAATGTATTTGTTACATGACAAATAGAAAATCCTACATAAGAAGACAGAAATTCGATATAAAAAGAGAAATTTTTAATGTTTTCATTTTCAATTTATAATGTTCTCATTTTTTACATGCATATAACAAAAATCCGATATATATAATCTAAAATTGACATATCAACATAGGTATCTTGATATGTATCTAAAACAACCATTAATGTTAGTATAATATCGATGAAGAATTCGAGCGACTAAATATAATAAATATGTATTATGTGAATCAAAAGTGACTTCAACAGAATTCTTAACACTAATATTTAAAAGATTAAGTTATTGAAATTTGTTAAATTTTATATATAAGATTATTAAACAAATAGAAAATGTAATCTATTAGCATATATAATATATATTATTTAGAAAAATGCAAAGAAATTTGTGAAACTATATGCATACTAATAACAATATATAAAATATTAATTTATTCTTAAAAAGAATATTCTTTTAAGAAAGAAAAACCGCAACAACAATTTTATTACAGCAGTATTTTACATCGAAAAAGTTTATCTTTTACGTTTTCATTATTGAATTTATATCTTTATTTCTACTTTGAAAGAAAATTTATCATATTAAAAATATAAAATTTATTATATTATATATTTATAAAATTATTTTATAAATTATAGTTTTTTGATTTTAATTTTTGTTTTAGAAATTTTTTACTTTTCTTTATTTCTTTTTTATTTATTATTTATTTAAACATTTGTAATATTAAAAAATAAATTTAATAATTTGCTTAAACAATACAACTCTTCTGCCTCAATCAAATAAAATAGAATCATATCAGAATTTATTCTCATAATTATGAAATATTATATCCATTTTATTTGATTTTATGTTTGATCAATCCCAAATATTGGACAATTCTGAAGATATCAATTATAAAGTCATGAGTTTAGTCAGGAAAATGACTACTTTTCCATATTCACTAACCGCAGTAAAAGTCAGAATAATTGTATTGGTTTCTTTTGTCAGAAATATCGTCTCACAAAAAAGTATAATTAAATTAGCCTTGGTTTTTACTGTCAAATATATTGCTATGGAGGATGCAGTTGATTTTGCTTTAAATAATAATAATAATCATAATTTTCTTATTTTCTCCAATGCATTTAATATAGTTTTAAGTTTGGCATTAATGAAAACAAATATTAGAATCAATTCTTATATCTTCAATGTTAAGAAAAAATTCAACAAATTTAATCGAAAAAATTTAAATAATTTTATTAAGTTTTATTGGATTTCTTACAAGAGGATTTTTGGCTTGAGAAGCTAAAGAAACTTCTCATGCCGATATTTTACATATATTCAGTATCCTTTATTACAGATTTTATTGAGACGTTCAAAAAGAAATGTTAACTCCATGAACGTAATTAGAGACGAAGTTTAATGCAAAAGCAAGAAGTTTTTCCAGTATTTCTATAGTGATAATTGTTATTCCTATTATCGTTCAAAACTACCTCGTTCATCTATTGTATCAATAAATAGATGTAATGTAAATCATTATCATTTGATAGCTTCGCTAGTTTGCATTGTTAATAATGCAGATGTAACTTGTATGATGAAATCTTAAATTATGTTTTATAGCAATGCAATACAATAATACAATAATCAAAGATATAAACTAATTAAAAATTTCGTAAGGAAGATCTTCAGATGTATCTATGTTAACAATGAAACTTAATATTAAGGCGTATCTTTATATGATTTTCTTTCTAAAAAGTTATAATTTAAGTATATAGATATTCTTTAGTTTTTTTTCCTCCTCGTTTCTATTGTTTATTTACTATATAATTATTGTATTGTTTAATTACTATATTTTGTATATTGCTTTGAGATATCTCTATTGAAATATATTATATTTTTATTATTATATAAACAAAAAAAAATTAGCTCCTAAAAAAAATAATGTTCCTCGCTTAAAAAATATAAAAAAGCATTTACTTACTTACCTTAATAGAATAAAATAAAATCTCAGAAAAAACATTTAAAATTGATGAGATATTAAAATTACATAAACACGATGTCTGCAAAATTATCTCTGAGTTCCATTGAATTGACATCGGTGAAACTAAAACAAAAAATATAAGAACAAAATGTTTCCATTTTAACAATTATATATATTCATCATATTATATATATCAGTTGATATAATAAAATCAATCATAAAAATTAGTTGAAAAAATTACTGTAATATTAAAACATAAAAAATTGAGAAATTTTGAAAAAAAAAAATAATAATAATTTAGTGGAAAATGCTAGATGGGTAATCAATAATAATAATAATAAAAGTGAAAATAATTCACATAATAAGGATTCACAATTATTTCAGAAAATGTAAAATAAGAGAACATTAAATTAGAATTTATTATATATATTGCTCTCTATTTCACTCATTCTCGATATATTTTATTTTTTGTTTATGTCATGCGTTAATTGTATTATTTACTTAATTCAAGTACAGTATGTATATGTATATATGTATATGTAGTACGTATGATCTCCTCCGCAAATAACATAATAAAGCTGAAAATATGTTTAAAAGAAATCTTTTTATTCTAATTTTGAAACTAATTAGATCTGATTTTTTCCGCGGAATTTCTTTTCAATTCTATATATTGCCCTAATAATGACAAAAATCATGATATCATGATTAGAAACAATCTTTATCAGTAGTTAATATCAGAAATTGTAATCAAAAATGTATTACAAATATCCACAATGAATAAAAGAAAAAGAATTACAAGAATTACAAAGAAAAACATCTAAGTAAAATTATTTGAATTAAGGAATTGATAAGTAAAATTATTTTGTAAAAATAAAAAAATATTCTGCAAACCTCGAAATTTTTTAATATAAACATTATGGCATCATGAAATAGTATAATATTCTTCGAAAGATATCTCGAAAAATAGACATTAGAATGGATAAAAAATATATCAGACAAAAGAAAGATTTAAAAATTATAGCAAAAATATTATTAAATCTTGTTAAAGCATGCGAACTTAGAAAACCATTTGAATGAATTTAGGATAAAGGGATGAAAATTGCGACAAAAAAGTCATTTATTTCATACAAAAATAGACGAACTATCTTTGTAAAAACTCATTTGAATTAGATTCATGAACATGATCAAAAGTAATATTTACAAGTGAAATTTAATAGATTTAGATCGAATGAGAAAATAATAGATATCATAATGATGAAAGATATAAAAAAAATTAACAATAAAAATATTAAATAATAAAAGATAACAATAAAAGAAGATATTAAATCAATTTAATTTTTTTTAATTTTTATTTTTTAGAAAATCAAGATTGAATATATCGTATTATTGATGAATTCTAAAATTTGTTTGTCTCGAAAACTAATTATTAATTAATTTTTAATTTAATTAATTTAATATAGGAATAATTAATACATATGAAAATTATTAATTTTTTTTATTTTCAATTAATTCTATTCTTTTTTTTATTTTTTTTTTATTTTCACATATAAAATAATCAAATAATGTCAAATAATCTTCTATTTATAATTATCTTATATCCAATTAACTAATTTCGCTTATAACTGAAAAATCTTCAAATTCAATTGTTTTGAAAACAAAATTTTGAAAAAAAAATTTTATTTTATTTATTTATTTTTTTTTTTTTAATCAAATCATTTTATTTCTTGTACATGTTATTTAACCAGACTTTAATAGTTTGTATATAATATTGTATATAAAATTGTATATAAAATAATAATTCAATTTATCACTAATATAAAACTATGTTTTAAATAATTAAATATTTTTTTTTTTGTTATTAAAAATTTTTATTATTCAAATAATGTCATACTAAACTGTCCTACTTTTATGTTCTAACTAATTCATATAATAAAAACTCTATAGGTTATATTTGACTTTATATTAAATAATAAAATGTTATTAATATCCCTTAATAAATTTATAAAATATATCTAAAATAAATATTACATTCATTTTAATTTTTTAAAAAAATTTTTATTACTCATATTTTTCTTTTTATTATCTTAAAATAATTCAATTAATAAATAAATAAAAAATATTCTTTTATCACATTATTCTATTTTGTTAATCATTTTAAAAATTTTAATTATCTTATATATTATTCATAATTATTTTATTATAATTCATAGAGAGTAATAATAAAAAAACTATAACAAAATAAAAAAGAATTTATAAAAATTTAATTTACATGATGCTTTTAGCACAAATATTTAGAAGCTAAGTAATTTATAAGGATTTAAAAAATATAATATAAATATATATTTTTTATTATATATAATATAATAAAAAATAAATTGTAGAAAAATTATACATTAAATTATATATAATACAATATAAGAAAATTCAAATATTCAAATATATTCAAAT